GGTCTGCCCCTTGCCTCTCCACTTGAGTTTGTGGGCTGGAGGCAGAATTATCAGTCTGTTTTCCTCTATTTTCTTGAATATAATGGAGTTTGTTTATAATTGCCAATTTTGGAATCTTAACTGTTCTATTATCTTTGTGGATTTTTTTGGTGTGTGTTTTTTAATAATTGTCTTTTCTTCCTTGTTATGGGTTATATTTTCCTACTTTTGGTTTTGTTACTCAGCGCCAGACGCTGAATTTTTCCCCATCAAATGCTGGATTTTGTTAAATTACTTGAAACTGTGTTGGACTTGGAGAAAACATAGTGACTGAGGTTAAGTGTATACAAGATGTAGACTTTAAGGTGATAGATACATTTAAGGATTTAATGTATGATCATTATGTGACCTATATACTTGGGATGTATGTGCTCAAAATCCCAAAAGGAGAGAGAGCTTGAGGAGAACAGATCTGTATGATAATTCCCCATAGGGGATGCTTTCATCTCTTTTCTCTGTCTCTTTCTGGCAATTTCACATTCCCTTCAGTGAAGAAGGGAAAAAAGTTATTCTCTTTATCTCTCGTTACCAGGAAATACTTCTTTTAAGATTCTTGGATACTGTTCTGAATATATCGTGTATCAGCTGTCATCATAGGTCTTGGAACATAGTGGAGTGTAGGTGAAGAGGCTCCTGCTTTCATTGAAGTGATAATTCTGTGTTAAAGAGAGATAAAAGCCAAGGAAACAAATAAAATACCAGAATTTCTGATAGCAGTTTGTGATAGAAGAGGGTAACTGAGTTGGTTAGATTGGTGTGCCTTCTGTAGCTCAGTCAGGAGGTGGACACCACACAAGTAGTTAGAATAGGCACATTTTATTGCAAAGAATCATTGATAGCAGGAGATCATCTACCTAAATCTGTGAAGTATTCTCTAAGGAAGGGAGACCTGGCAGATCCAGATCCACTATCTGTGGAACTTAGGCCTCAGGGAAGCTGCAGACTTAGGAGAGGCTTCTCTTCAGAGAGGGTATGGTTGTCATCAGCTGGGTAGTAGGACACGGCTTGAAGCTAGCGAAACTCTGGAGAGTGTATACTGCTTTGTCCCATGTAGTATACGTATACCATTGATGGTATCTCCCTGGTGGGAGAGGCAAGAAAAAAGGCATAGCAACCTGGAAGGAGACCTTTTCCTCTTCACTGTTCCTATAACACTCTAAACCCAGAAGGGCAAGCATTGTACCCACTGGCAAAGGAGAAATATATACAGTGTGCATGCAGTTTCTTAGTCATAAAGCATGGGAAGAAAAGGGTGAATTCCAAAAGGAGTTGATAGGTTGGTCATCTAGCCTCCCTGAATTAGGTGATATTTTTGTAGAATACTAACCAGTAGAACTTTGATAGTTTAATGGAAGCTATCCAGAGATTTAGTGGATGAGTACTCTAGACAAAGGGAACAAGTGCAGTGACATAAATGCAGAAATTTGTCCTGGGAACCTTGGAGGCAGTAAGAAATGTAGAATGTAGTCCTAAGTGTCGTGGAAGACAGCAGAAGATTCTGTGCAGGGAAGCTACATGATCTCCCTCTGTATACTGTTTTGAGAAGGGATTATTAATGGGCAGGTTGGGAATCGGGGTCCCACACAGGAGCCAGTATAGTAATCCAGGTAAGAGGTGAGAGTGGTTGGACTGAATTGGAAACAAGTAAGAGAACTGGGTAGGTTGGGGAGGTACCAAGGATTAAGGTGGGGTAGGAGTGGAGTGGAGTGGAGGAAAATAATAAGACTTACCACAGTTAGAGAACAGCTTTGTTTCTCACCCCTGTCTTCAGACTGATCTTCACTATCTGTCCTTGCCCCATGGTAGCACGTCAGTATAACTCCATGGTCTTCTAGTTGCCTATGGTTTTAGAATTGTCTTGTTTTCAGGCATTCAAGTCCAGCATACTTAAGAATCCAAATATCTCATCTAAGTCAAAGCTTCCCCCCCACCAGCTTTAGCAAGTCATGTTAGAAATCACCATGGGTGGAGAGCGGTGGTATATGTTCTATTTCCTTATGCCTTCCCTGTTTCTCCAAGATGGAGAAAGGGGTTCTGGAAAGGAAGAAGTAGGTGTCTTTGTGGCCTAGCTATTTATGGTTCTCTTTACTGTCTGGGATCCATGATTCTAATAACCTATTAGCCCAGTAGTAACTAGCGCTTGCTTGTAGGCTACCTTAGTGAGTTCTGGCTGTTTTAACAAAATATTGTAGACTGGGACTCTTACAAAAAATTGAAGTTTATTTCTCATAGTCTGGAGGCTGGGAAGTGCAAGCTGAAGGCACTGGCAGATTTGGTATCTGGTGAGGACCCATGTTCTGGTTTATATTGGCAGTGCCTTCTCACTGTGTCTTCATATGGTCCAAGGGCACAGCAACCATCTAGGCTTTTTAAGGGTTTCTCATCTGTGAGAGCTCTACCTTCATGACCTCCAAAGACCTTACCTTCTAGCACCATCACCTCAGGAGTTAGGGTGTTAACAGAGGAATTGGGAGGATGGGAAGGGTGCACACATTCAGACCTTTAGGTACTTCTAAGACCTTAGTAGGGACTTCGCACTCTACCTCCTGGTGGAGACTATTTTCCACTCAACCACCTGTCCCATGCTCTACCCTCATTGTGTAATTCCAGAGTCTCTTCATACAGCAGTACCCATTTTGGGTGGGGTTCTCTTATGACAGCATAAGTCTTCCTAATGTGCTCCTTACTCCCAGTCCATGGGGTTCTCAAGCTTTTCCACTTTAAAGTCAGATATCAGTGTCCACATGACCAAATTTTTGAGACATGTGATAAGCCCAGGGGTTGGGATGGGGGTGGGTACTAGAGATGTAAGAACAAAAATGATCAAGTCCAGCTGGGGATGAGTCCCAGGCTCCTTGGGATCTGCCAGTACCCTGTCTGTCTGAAGACTTGTTCTACTGATTTTATACTTGAGGGGTACACTTCTCCCTTGTAGGAGCAGAAGACACAGTTCTGTTGATTTAGGTGAATTCCCTTCCAGAAGCCTCTCTTCTGACTCTGCTCTTCTCATTCTCAGGCTGTTGTGAGTGATGACTGAGCTGAATACCCCTGTTACATACCTAGGGGAGGTGCTGCTTTACCATGTGGGCATCCCCAGCTCTGAGATCTGAGTTCACTGTCTCACATGGCAAAGTCTTTATCAAAACCTGTTAATAGAGAGTTCACAGTGCTACTTGGTGGGTGACTAAGGGAGGAAAAGGGTCTAAAAGTTGGAGTGGGATCTGAGGTTGCATTTTTGTTCAGTGTTGTGGTTGTTGATAAAAGGCTTTCAGTACTTGAAGTTTGGGAGGTGAAATGATCTCTTGCTTCATCTGGTGATTTTGCTCAGGTTGTTCTCCATCTCAAGTCTCCTTGCTCCTTCTCTCTCCCCCTTGCTCTTAGAGCAGGCAGCACAAGTTATGAAATTTCATGGAGCAGAGTAGTCTGTGCCTTCAGTCTCTTGATACTGGGCTATTAGGCTAAGACACAGTGCTGTGCTGTCTCAAGTAACTGTGGGTATGTCCCTTCCCAGTGGGGTCCTGTAGAGTGGTCATTGTATGTACTGATGAGGACACTGAAAATAGAATTGTTCTATGTGTGTATTTAAATTGCCAGAGGGCATGTGCACTAGCCAGAAAGAGAGGGAAGGGGGAGAAAGCAACCCCAATGGAACATAGTTACCCTACAGTCCCTTCTCCATTTGTCCATCCCAGGGGTTCTGGGGCCGTGTACGTACACACCCAGTTGTGTTTCATGCTGCCAAGGCCTACATTCAGACTGCAGTTGGCCATGTGGGAATCCAGCTTCCTTAGCCACTAGGCTACAGGTCAAGTCTGAATTGTTGTTTTTTAGAGAATAAAAGAAATTGATTGAATGTCCTCAGTGTGATTATGATGTGAGTTGTTGGAAGGTTTAAAAAAGTTCCAAACAGCATTCTCAAGTGTCAGAGAGAAAAGGTAATATCAGTTAAGACATTTTCTTTTGGAGGCCAGCAGATGGCATGGTGGTTAAAGGTGCTAGATTCCCACATGGCCAACTGCTGTTCAAGTCCTGGACTTGGTGGCTTCTTTTCTCGCTTTCCCTTTCTGTCTCTGGTCAAATTTTAAAATAATAACAACAAATAGGATTAAATAAATAAATGATTCTTTAAAGATAATTTCTTTTTAGTTTTTTGCTGTATGGCACGTGTGCTCATGAGAGAGGGACAGACACAGTAAGAGAGGAGAGAGGGAAAGCAAGATCACCCCAAAGAGGGAATGGGCATGCAATGATATCCTCTCTTCCATTCTCCTCTCAAGATTTTGGTCATGCACGCCTAGGTGCCCTACATGTTTCTGAAGCTACTAGGTCTAGACTTGAACACAGAGTTAGCTGTGTGGGATCCAGCACCTTCACCACCGTGCTACCTGCTAGTCTCAGTTAAGATATTTTCAGTGTCCTAGATTTAAAATGTTTCCTCCTCCTCTTTTTAATTCGTTATAGTGTACATGTGCTCACCAGACAGACAGAGGGTGGGCAAAGTGAGAATATTCCCCCAGGGAGGTGACCCTGCCACAATTCCTTCGTCATTCTCTTTTTGGAATTTTAGACATGTCTATGCATGCGCTTCACATGTTTGCAAGCTGCCAGTTCTGAGACTCGAACTGTGCAGTTGCATGGATCTAGCTGCATTCACCATCACACCACTAGCTGGGCCTAAACATTCTTCTAAAAGACATTTTTCTAAATAATTAATGAAAAATCGATGCCATAAGCATTTGAACATACGTGGTCTATTATATTCCCTCTTTTATAAAAAAAATTATTTAATTTTATTTGCTGTTATTATTATTTATCTTTTAATTTGACCAGAATGAGAGAGAAAGGGAAAGTGAGAAAGCAAGCCACCAGGTCCAGGACTCGAACCATGGTCTGCCATGTAGAAGCCCAGTGCCCTAACCATCACATCACCTGCCGGCCCCTATATTCTCTTTTTGAAACAGGGCCAAGATTTTGTTCTTCACTCGCCGCTTGGTGGCTCCCAGCCAGAGACTGGAGGTGGAGGCAGGCTCGCTCTGGGTGCACAGACGCTTCCCTCGGCAGGACTGGGTACTGCCTCCTCGGACCCTGCATGCTCCTGTGAGGCCTGCAGCGAGCGCAGGTAGGTGATGTGTGTATCATGCCACTCATGCTCACCCATGATGATATGCCGTGTGCATGTTGGAACTGGAATTGGAAACCAGGATAATTAGATAGTAGTAAACATTTGAGCCACTTCTGAGAGTAAGCCTGGCTATTGTGAGGAAGAGCCAGATGAATAAAATAGAAATTCCTGCTCTTAAGGATTAACACTAGGAAGCTAGTACTCAGAAAGGGAGAGGAGGGGTACATAAATAATTAGAACCTATCAATGGCAATAATTGAGAGAACATGATGGGGGAGGTCAGTGACTGCCAGCTGCCAAGTGATTAGAAAAGAGGGCCCAGGAGACCAGCAGTTAGCGTAATGGCTATGTCGCTGGACTCCCACGTAGTCGACCGTGGTTCGCGTCCCGGATCCGGTGACTTAAAACTCACGCCGAGTGCGTGTGCGTGCGTGCCCAAGATCCCAAGAAGAGAATGGAGGAGAAAGGATTGCGGCGTGGCCATCCCCCCTGGGGGGTGATTTCTCGCTTTCTCTCTCTCTGTCTCTCTGTCTGTCTGGCGAGCACACACGCCCTATAGCAAAAAAAACAACAACAAAAAACTCTCAAAAAAAAAAAAGAAAGAAAAGAGGGCCCAGGATTCGATCTAGAAGGACTCTGGAACCTGGCTTGGGCAGGAAACCAGCAGAGCCCAATGAGACCAAAGAATGCAGAAATACAGGTTTCAAAGGAAGCAAGAACTACCTGGCAGGCACTTTGAAAGTGAGGTTCAGGTAGATAGAGGGGAATGTTAGCATTCTTGACCATGGACAGCAGCTGTGGATGCTCCTGTGTTGTGAAGGAGGAGTGGCTGAAATCTCATGGACACAAAGGTCTCAGGGATTGAATCAGGAGGACATCCAAAGGAGACCTGTACTGGGGACACCTTTGGCCTCTTACAGCATAGCTGGAGAGTGGGAGATAATGGCTATTCTTAGGGCTTCTCACTTTGAGGATGTTGTTCATCCCCTCCGATTGTTAAAGGTGAGGAAGTGAGGAAGTGAAGCAGATTGTAATAACTTTTCTAACCCAACTCACTTATTTCCTGTGTTATCTCATAGAGAAATTTCAGCAGAGACGGACCGGGAACCTCAGCAGCTACAGAACTACTGGTCAGAAGTGCGCTACATGGTCCGATGCATATACCGCCAGGCAGGGACTCCACTGGCTGATGACCAGGACCAGTCTCTAGTACCTGACAAGGAGGGAGTAAAGGAGCTCGTGGATAGGTACACATTGCCCTTCATGATAAAGATCCCATCCTCATCCCTGTTCTCCATTGCTGTCATCGGAGCCTCTTTGCTCAGGATGGCCTTTATCTTTATGACTTGGGTAAATTTCAGTTGGATTAGTTCAACTCTTGGTCAGTTAGATTTTCAGCAGACTGGCATAAGTGAGCCCTATGGGTAAAAAGGTTCAAATTCTTCAGAGTCTAATGAAACCCTTATCACCTATAAAATAGTGAAATGTTTTTTATCATTTCTTTGTGTTAGGAATGAGAGTAATACTTACATTTTGAGTCCCTTCTGTGCCAGGGACGATGCTGTGTTCTTTCATTCATTTTTTTCTTTTTTTAGGTTTTGTTATATGGTGCATAAGCTTGCCAGAGAAAGAGAGGGAAAGTGAGAAATTACCCACTGAGGAGGTTGGCCATACCACAGTCCCTTCTCCTCCATTCTTCTTTTTGGGATTTTGGGCATGCACACACGCACACCTGGCATGATTTTCAAGCTGCCTGGTTCAGGACTCAAACCACACAGCCAGCCATGTGGGATTCAGCCACCTTAAGTTCCATGTCATCTGCTGGCCCATGATGTTAACTACTTTCACAAGCATTCTTCCTTTATCAACCCAAAGAGAAAGGCAGAGTTACCCATTTATGACCCAGGGCTCCATGAGGTCAACAGCTCGTGAATGTGCCTGTCCTGTGTGAATAGAGAACTGGAGTCAGGCCTGTTTGGGGGGCTGTTCCTCACATGTGAGTGGCTCATGACATATCATTTGTTCTTCAGCAGATATTTTGTACCCACTTACTATAGACTTTGAGGTGGCCATACTTTGTTTTCTTCCTTATAGTTTGAATGTAGCTTTTTTTTTCTGTTTCGTGAAATGTTATAATAAAAGCAACAGATTCAAGCTAGACATTTCATGGGTTGATTCTTATTTTGGTTTCTGTTTGCTATGTAGTAGATTTTATTCCAGAGGGAGGGGTAATGATTAGCCTTGGGTTATGTTAACTAGTTAAGAAAGTCTGTCGGTGTGTTCAGAGTTTGACTGGTGGACTACTGGTGTTACATGAGATGGTTCCAGATGATATTGTGAGTATTAGGAAAAGATGTATAACCTTCATGTCAAACCCATTACTTCAGATTATTAATGCCATATCTTCCATCCCTTAAAATAGTATCATGGGTGGTATGTTAGTGTTGTTAAATGTACATATAAATGAGTGACTGAATGAACTGTCACAGCATCTTCAACATGTTCTTTCCTCCTTTTTTATTTTTTAAGAGATTTTTTTGTCTTAGAGTGAATGTGCTCACTGGGAGAGAGAGACAGAGACAGAGGAAAAGTGAAAAATCACCTCTAAGGAGGAATGGCCATGCCACAATCCCTTCTCCTCCATTCTCCTCCCAGGATCTTGTGCATACATACGTGCCCAGCATGAGTTTCAAGCCATTGGGTCTGGGACTCAAACCAGTCAGTCATGTGGGAGTCCAGTGACATAACTACTATGCCATCTGCTACCCCCTGCTCTTTTTCATATAATTTAAAAAATTGTTAGTAAAAGTACCATATTGTTATTTCCTTAATTTTATAAGATATGGAAATGGACAAAGATATAAAATGCATCTAATTCCACCATGCTTAGAGAACAAGAAGAACGTATCCAGTCTACTTGTAAGTCTGATTGTCCCTATGTCATTTGAGTCTTCTGTGGTTTTCTTTTAACATATTCTATTTCAGAGATGGTTTTGTTTTGTTTGTTTGTTTTAATTTACCAGAGGGCACATGCGCTCTCCAGAAAAAGAGGGAAGTGAGAAAGCACCCTTCATAGGGGTGGCCACACTGGGCACACATGCTCACGCATCCAATGTGTTTCTCAAACTGGCTAGTCCAGGACTTGAACCTTGCAGTTGGCCCTGTGGTATCCAGCTGCGTTAACCACAGTGCCACTGGCAGGCTCCAGAGGACAGTTTCCTGTACTAGCCAAAATTAAGATCGTCATGCTGAAAAAAAATTGATATATGTTTGAAATATACTGATCATATCAAGAAACCCATCAACATTATGGCTTTTGTAATCACATTTTATATATAGCATTCTATATTCCATTGCAGGATTTTACTTGGGTATCTTGTCTTTTACAGTGTAGGTGGTATAGTAATTTAAAGATGGAACAAATGACAGCTAACTTCCTTGCCTTGTGACCTAACGTACACAGAAAGTGAAGGATTTTATTATGTAAATCCAAGAGTTGTACATATATTTTACAATTTATTTTTAATGAATGCTGAACTTGTATTGGTTCTTCTGTGGTTGATGGTGTTGGACAGAAGTTTCCTCTGATTATAAAAATAATACGGGAACCAGCAGTTAGCGTAATGGCTATGTCGCTGGACTCCCACGTAGTCAACCGCGGTTCGCGTCCCGGACCCGGTCGCTTAAAACTCAGGCCGGGCGTGTGTGCGTGCGTGCCCAAGATCCTGAGAGGAGAATGGAGGAGAAGGGATTGTGGCGTGACCATCCCCCCTGGGGGGTGATTTCTCGCTTTCTGTCTCTATGTCTCTCTCTCTGTGTCTCTGGCGAGCACACGCGCCCTATAGTGAAAAACCTCTCAAAAAAAAAAATAATAATACAAGCCCATTAGATTGTATACTGAGTTCCTTCAAAGAAGGGCAGAACAGTCTTCCCCAGTTCTGCAGCCAGGCATTGTCTTTACTGGGATCATTGATTTTCACCTATTCAGATACAAAATTTCAAAAAGAATTGTCTTCAGACCCACCCATGGTGGGTGGCACACAGGTAGCACCACCGCCTGGAAGGCTGAAAACTACACTGAAGCCCAGGTTTGGTTTCTGGGCCAACATGAACAAGCCAAGCACAATTGCATGTGCTTGTGATCTTAGGTAATTGGAAAGCTGGGCAGGAAGATGATGATGTGGTGAGAACCTGTCAAAAATACTCTTCTCTGTCTCTTTCCTTTTCCTCTCATAAAGGAGGTGGTAATAAGTTTTCTTCAGTCCTGTACTTTTTTCATAGTGTTATGGTTGAGGGTTTGCATCTGGAGCCAGCTGCTAATGTGTGGTAGCATCCTCTGCCACCTCTAGCTATGAGTTCATACTGTTTGCCCAGCCATGTGTGCCTCAGTGTTCTCCTCTGTAAAGTAGGCATGCAGCCATGCTCTCGCACACAGGCCAGCTGCATTAGTGCACATCTGTGAAAAGTGTTGCTTACACCAGGTGCTCAGTAAATGTGAGTTTTTCTGTTAGTTTGCTAGTGACACTTTGTGCCCCATCTCAGTGGGGTGACTGAGCCTCTCACAGGTCATTATGAGGAAGATGATTGCTGTTGTCATCTGTAGAGTAAAGAAAAGATACTAACAAAAACCATCCCATCGTGGGGACTTGTGTAGACAGGACATGGGTGAGTGGTGACTTTCTTTCTCTGTGCAGGCTCTGTGAGAGGGACCCCTACCAACTATACCAGCGGTTGGAACAGCAAGCCCGAGAGTATGTGCTGGAGATGAAGGTCCGCCTGCTGCGGCAGCTATCGGCAGCAGCAAAAGTGAAGGCGCCATCTGGCCTGCAGGGCCCTCCACAGGCCCACCAGTTCATCTCGCTCCTCCTTGAGGAGTATGGCGCCCTATGCCAGGCAGCACGCTCCATCAGCACTTTCCTTGGCACTCTGGTAAGACAGAAAGTGCTCTCTTTTCTTTCTGGTTGTTTTGAAGATAAACTAAACTGAAAGAACATGTGGTGGGAAGATTCTGAGACTTGTGTGTTCATCTCACTGTCACACTCACTGTTTGTTGTCACAAAGCCCTCTCCTCCACAAAGTTGGGTGCAGGATTCAGAACCTGCTTTCTTTCCTCTTTCTCTTTCCTCTGGACTTTGCCATTGAATAAAAGTATTAGTGGACTGGTTTCCAGGTGTTACTTGATGGAAGTACTATTTGGGGAACCTTGAGGCCAAGAGAATGAGGCATGGGCATAATTTGAGGTAAGGACCAGGGTAGACATTAGTAGGAAAACAAAAGAGAATGTTGGTATATTGAATTGCTAATTCTGTTACTATAGATAGAGGAGATATTTATGAATGCGGTGAAGAGCATTAAGACCATAGAGAGGAGCCATTTAGAGCTCTGTGACCATGTCCCATCACTTTCATTCATGCATGCATGTGTACATTCACTCCACAACCCATTTCTGTTAAAGCTAGGCTTACATACCCAGTTAAGGTGCCACCTTCCTCCCAGCATGCATGCACGCATGCATGCACACATGCACACACACGTCAGGGATTTTATAGTCCTAACAGACTATAAAAAAGTACTAACAGATTATAAAAAAGTAAATCACCACAATGAACAGAATGAGGCATGGAGTTATAGGTAAGCCAGGGTCAGTCCTTGGCGGCCTCAGTGCAGCTACAGGTTGAAAGGAAACCATGCTTGTCACAAGCAAGCCATTCAAACTCCATTGACTTAAATTTTAGGACCACCTCCCCCCTTTACATTTTATTAATAGTTTGTGGAATTTGTCATTATCACTTAAATTTTATTACTATATTATGTTTCATTAGACTAGTTTTGGATGCTTTCTTAGTATAATTACTTTTTTGTTGTTGTTTTTTGCCATAGGGCACCTGCGCTAACCCAAGAGAATGAACAAGCAAGCTTGCCAGAGACAGTGAGAGTGAAAGTGACAAGTCAGCACCCTTGGGGTTGGTCACGCAGCAATCTCTTCTCCTCCATTCTCCTAGGATTTTGGGCATGCATGCACACATTCCTGGAGCAATTTGTGTGTGTGTGTGTGTGTGTGTGTGTGTAAAGGTTTTTGCCTTAGGGCATATATGTTCATTGTGGAAAAAGAAAGATAGACGTAGGAAGAGGGAAAGTGAGAAATCACCTCCCCAGGAGAGATGACCATGCCACAATCCCTTGTTATCCTGGGATCTTGAGCACACACATACACATGTCCAGCATGAGTTTCAACCCATACCACAGTTGGCCGTGTGAGAATTCAGTGACATAACTGCTATGCTATCTGCTGTCACCATCCCCTGGCATGATTTTCAGGCTGCCGGGTCTGGGACTTGAACTGTAGTTGGTTATGTGGGAATCTGGCACCTTCACCCTGCCACCTGCTGGCCCCAGTATAACTACATCTTTAAACATATATGTGGTAACCAGTGATTCATAAGATTTTTAATATAATGATCTTTACCTGATTATAAAATAGATGGACCCTTTCTGGGAAAATCTACATATATATAAAATTGCATAGGCTCCACAGGCTTCCCTGAATCAACCAATTGCCATTCCTGTAATAACTCCCTAAAACTGTGAAGAGGCACACATAATCAGAAGAGGTAGCAGTGAGCCTACTTTCAGAGTTTCATCCACTAAGTAGTGCCAGGTCTGCCTCAGGGGCCTTAATTGTTCATCTTGATCTCGCCTAGAATAGGTCTACCTGTTCTCCTGAGATCTAAATTCAAAGCCACCTACTCTGTGAAGGTGCTTTGAACCTTCACCTGGTCTCCTAAGGGACAACATTACCCCAGGTTAAGATACCCTTCACCCTACTGAATCTAGTGCATGAAGAGGCATTGGTGGCGGGAGGGATGTTGCCATTGTCCAGAAAGTCCTGCTAATGTCCAGGCCCTCCAAAGATTGAGTAAGACACTGTTCTATGAAACAAAAATTGATTTGAACTGTGTCTACTGGATAAAATTCATAGCAGCTTACATACAAATATTTTTTGTAATATGAAAAATCTCTTAAACTGGGACCAGCAGTTAGCGTAGTGGCCATGTCGCTGGACTCCCACGTAGTCGACCACAGTTCGAGTCCCGGACCTGGTGGCTTAAACTCACACCGGGCACATGTGCGTTCATGCCCAAGATCCCAAGAGGAGAATGGAGGAGAAGGGATTGCGGCGTGCCCATCCCCCCCGGGGGTGATTTCTCGCTTTCTGTCTCTCTGTCTCTTTCTGGCGAGCACACACACCCTATAACAAAAACCTCTCAAAAAAAAAAAAAATCTCATAAACTCTTACGCACACAGGCATGCGCGTGTGTGTGTGTGCGTGCCCAAGATCCTGAGAGGAGAATGGAGGAGAAAGGATTGTGGTGTGGCCATCTCCCCTGAGGGGTGATTTCTCACTTTCTGTCTCTCTGTCTTTAGAGCAAGCGCATGCACCCTAAAACAAAACAAAACAAAACTACCTCTAATGCACAAAACATGTCTATTTAATCAGTGTTTTATATCACTTTCTTTAAATATGGAGATACTCACTTTGGCTTTTAGTTGTTCAGCAGAGCAGATTATCTTAAACAGTTCCTTTCTTCAGGGGAAGAAATTTACTGGATAACATAAAAAATTTGAAAACATATGACTAGGCCAGCAGGTGATGTGGCAGCAGCTAAGGCATTAGATCCCACATGACCAACTACACGATTCATGTCCCAGACCTGGGAGCTTGAAAATTATGCCAGTCTTGTTGCATGTGTTCCCAAAATCTCAAGAGGAAAACAGAGGAGACAAGATGGCAATGTGGCCATCCCCCTAGGGATGTGGTTTCTAACTTTTCTCTCTCCCTCTTTCTTCTTTCTCTATGGAGAAGCGTACACATCTTATAGCAAACAAATAAACAAAAAACAAATGGCTAAGATAGTGTGAAAGTGAAAAATTACTACTGGTGAAAAATCAATGAAAAGCTAGAATCCTGAGAAATACATATGCTTGGAAGCCAGTGTTTGCTCCAAGAATCTTCTGATACAAGAAGATAGGAGATATGAGTCTCCGTCTAGCTTAGGATAGGAAATCATGCTGGAACCACAAATGTCTACAACCTTAGTGTAAGGGTGGAGGAGAAACTGAGATTTTTATAACAATAAGAGAACTTTTAAAATTTTGTGGAAAGTGGAATTACAGCAAGTTTATTTTGGTTCAAGAAAAAAATTATGAAATCTATGCATAGTATTTCATATTACATATTTTTCATGAACTTTTCAAAGGCCCCAGGAAGAGTCAACTGCCACATAGATTTATGGTCTCAACAAATGCTATCGTAGTATGAAACAGCTCAAACCACTTTACAGTGGTCCAAGATTACTGGTAAAGTTAAGCAACTTGCTGATTACTTAGGGAAAAGGTTTAACCTTCATTCTTACCTCAGTGAATTTGTGTAGGTAAACTCCCCACAAATGAGCAGTTCACATTTTTTTAAAAAAAGTCACAAGATAGAAAGTTTAGGACCAGCGGATGGCATATTGGTTACCTTGCTGAATTTCCATATGGCCAACTGCAGTTCGAGTTCTGGACCCAGTGGCTTGAAAACTACACTGGATGTGTGTGCATGAGTGCCCCAAGTCCCAACAGAAGAAAGAAGAAGAAATTGAGGCATGGCTATCTCCTCTGGGGAGTGATTTCTCACTTTCTGTCTCTCTGTGTCTCTCTGTCTCTCAAACAAGGGTATGCACTATAGCAAAAATCACTCTCTCTAAAAAAAAGGGAAAACACAAAGTTCAGGGCAGCATGATTGAAAGCTAGCAAAAACAACACAGAGAATCACATACCGTACATGTTTCAATTTTCACAGAAGGAATGTAAAGCAACTATGTTTACTGTGCTCAAGACATTTTTTAAATGTTTATAATTAGACCAGCCTTGGCCTGGCGATTAAGGTGACTGAACCCCACATGACCAATTACATCGTTTAAATCCTAGACCCAACAGTTTGAAAAACCTGTGTACATATCCATAATCTCAAAAGAGGGAGAGATGGAGAACAGGGGATTACGCTGTGACCATCCCCCATGGGAATGCTTTCTGATTTACGCTCTTTTTTTTTGGAGAGGTTTTTGCTATGGGGCACATGCGCTCGCCAGACAGACAGAGATGGAGAGACAGAAAGCAAGGAATCACCCCCTGAGGGGATGGCCACGCCACAATCCCTTCTCCTCCATTCTCCTCTTGGGATCTTGGGCACACACGCACATGCACCTGGCGTGAGTTTAAGCCACCGGGTCCGGGGCTCGAACTGCGGTCGACTACATGGGAGTCCAGTGACATAGCCATTACGCTAACTGCTGGTCCCATGTTCTTTGTCTCATTGTCTGTCTCTCTGGCAAGTGCATGCACCCTCTGGTAAATTAAGAAATAATAAATAAAATTATTGAAATTATGAATAAAGGGTTAAGACAGTAAAGAGTGGTCATTCTGACTTGAAAATATCAAAACTAGAAATAAAAATATTTGACACTTAAAAATCTTGATGTATTAAAGGGATTTAAACACAACTGGAAACAGAATTGGTAAATTGGAAGAAAGAGATAAAGGAATTATATCAGGATTTAACTCATAGAGGCAAAGACATAATGCACATAAGAGAGGTTAAAAGACATTTATGAGGGAACCAGCAGTTAGCGTAATGGCTATGTCGCTGGACTCCCACGTAGTCGACCGCGGTTTGCGTCCTGGACCCGGTGGCTTAAAACTCACGCCGGGCGCGTGTGCGTGCGTGCCCAAGATCCCGAGAGGAGAATGGAGGAGAAGGGATTGCGGCGTGACCATCCCCCCTGGGGGGTGATTTCTCGCTTTCTGTCTCTCTGTCTCTCTCTGTCTGGCGAGCCCACACGCCCTACAGTGAAAATCTCTCCAAAAAAAGACATTAAAGATACAGTGAA